GTGAATGATCAACTACTATGAGCTTGAAAGAGCGAAGTGACACACATGCGTGGTGGCCATAAATATATGCGGCTGCTCGGGAAGAAAACAATAAAACGGAATGGTCAAGCGCGACGGTGCGAGGGCCTTCAATCGCTACATCAGGTGGAGTCGCATGTTTGTTAAATTATACAGTTTACGCGGGGGTAAAGCAGAGTTGGCGGGAAAGGCCCGTTGAATTACGCAGTAAGCGCGGCGTGAAGCAGAGTTGGCCGCGGGGTCAAACATAGTTGGCGGGAAGGGCTGTGTAAATCATTGTCAGTAAACGGGCCAACTCTGTCACCGTTTTCTGTGACAGTAAACGTGGGGTGAAGCAGAGTTGGCGGGAAGGGCCCGCTGGATTATACAGTAAATGCAGGGTGAAGAAGAGTTGGCGGGAAAGGCCCGCTCTAACACAAGCAAATCTGAACAACAGGTAACCATGCACGTTTCGCCTCGACATTTTTTGGTTGCGTAGAAACCCTTAAAACCCGAGTCCTAAATTGCGGCCGCGCGGGTCAAGCTTTAAAAACTTGACGAACTAGTGTTTTCAAGGTTTGAAGAAAAGCGTGCCTGCAATTTGGGACTTTTGGGAACTGAACCAACCCCCAGGGCGAAATACGAGGGCGGGCTGGGTTTGGCGAAAAAAACGAAAAAAGCGAAATCGGAATCTTTCGCCAAAACCCTCACCACAAAAACCCCCTCGCGTCAACCTTTTAAAACTTGTGCAATTTGGGCTGCCGGCTTTAATATTTGGTTTGACATTTCGGGGATATCATTTGATGAGTGTATTTAAGCACTTTTTGGAGCACTCGTTTACATGTTTTGAAAATGTGTTCAAACGGATGCCTCAAATAATGGATAAAAAACACCCTTGAATGAGATCCCCATATGTAAAACCAAATAGCGGAACACACGTACGTATCATGTTGAAACCATGAACTTGCTCGACCGTACCAACCTCGTCGATAAATACGGCGGATCGTACGGCCGAGCATAATATTCTGGCATCAACATGAACAAATGAACAACAAGGTATGAGGTGGAATGGATGTCAGAATATTATGCTCTAGCCTGTAGTGGGGTGCTCTGTAGCGAGTACAACCCTTCTAGGGTTTGCTATTTGTATCCCCATTCTTGCTAGTTCAGTCCTCTTTTGCCTTCATTCTCTCTTGCCTAGCTAGGTCAACCCTAGCTATGGCTCCTCAGTATACCTACTATCACGACATGGTATCAGAGCTTAACGTTACGTCCTTGGCCTGTGGGCCCCACGATGCTTCCGCTGCTACTTCCTGCTATTTCCTGCCTGCCGCGCGCCCCGGGCGCGCGGCGATTTTTCTTCCCGCCGCGCGCTCGGGGCGTGCGGCGGTTTTCTGCCCGCCGTGCGCCCCGAGGCGCGCGGCGGTTTCCCACCGTCGAAGCGCCCCCCGTCGCCCGTCGAAGCGCTCCCCCCCGTCGCCCGTCGAAGCGCCCCCCGTCGCCCGTCGAAACGCCCCCGTCGCCCGTCGAAGCGCCCCTGGGACCCGCGCGCGGCCCGTACGGGCTGCGCCAGGCCCGCGCGCGGCCCGTACGGGCTGCGCCAGGCCCGCGCGCGGCCCGTACGGGCTGCGCCAGGCCCGCGCGCGGCCCGGGCAGCCCGCGCGCGCCTCGTCCGGCCTGCGGCAGGCCCGTGCGCGCGCCTCGTTCGTCCCTGCGCTTCTGCCGGCGCCCCACCCCGGCTACTGCCCGTACTCCTGGATTAGGGTTTGGGGGTGGGGGGTATGGGGGTGCAGCTTCAGTGTGCCGTTCCCTGCTCCTCCTCCTCCCTCGTCTCCCTCTGCTACAGCTGCCGCTGAGGGGGGTGGTGTGTGGGAGCCTAGGGTTTGGGGTCTAAGGGGGGTACCGTCGGAGTGGAGCTAGGGTTTGAAGCAGGGGGTGTGTGTCGAGGGGTGTGGGACAGTTGGAGGAGGTTGAGCGGAGGCCGCCGTCGTGTCGTCCGCAGCGCCTGTATTCCGGGGTTCGATTAGCCACCGGTAGCTCAGAGAGCCGGTTGCGCCGTCGCCTGTGGGTCCGTTGCTCCTGCCGCGCATATTAGCCGCGGAGCCTGTTACTCCTGTACTCCGGGGCACTCATTCCCGGTAGCCACGTTGTCGCACCAGAGCCGTCTGTTGCCCGTGTGTCTGCAGCTTCAGTCGTCGCCTCCTATCTACTCTCCTCTCGCCAGCCCTCCTCCTCCTCACTTGACCCCTTGTGACTGCCTCTAGCTTTGCTCATAATTGTGAACCTTAAACTATTGCTTCTTGCTTGTGCTCAGAATGAGTGGTGACATCGTGATCCACCCTGAGCTTGTACTGCTTTGTTTCCTCTGCTGATTACACCCCACTTTGGCTATGGGGGTGTGTCAGAATATTATGCTCTAGCCTGTAGTGGGGTGCTCTGTAGCGAGTACAACCCTTCTAGGGTTTGCTATTTGTATCCCCATTCTTGCTAGTTCAGTCCTCTTTTGCCTTCATTCTCTCTTGCCTAGCTAGGTCAACCCTAGCTATGGCTCCTCAGTATACCTACTATCACGACAATGGATGCTTCAAAATAAATGTTTAAATGCATCATGCAGCAACAGAGGTTGATGGGGTCGTTGAAACAGCGGAAACCCGCTGCCCCAGAGACGATTAACAGCCTCTAGTTGCATACATGACACACAATAACACCACACTTTGAAACACATATCCCACAAACACGAATACAAACGCACGTTAAAAATGTACAACACCACGTAACAGTTGCGAACACATCGAAGAGCAACCCCACAGTGAAACAAACACAACGAACAGACATGCACACACACGCAAACAAGCACAGAGAGATACAGATACCGTAATAAACACACAACCGTCATAAATAAAATTTCAGAATAAATCATTGCTAACCTATCCCGCCCAGGCCCTTAGATTTCAGCGAAAAAAGGCTGATTAGGGGTAAAAAGGCTGAGTTTTCAGTGCTAGGAAGAAGGTTGGGGCTGATTTGTAAGCTTTTTTTTACTTGTGTGGGCTGATTATTCAGCATTTTTCTCATTGTATGGGCTGATATTTCAGAGTTTTTTTATATGTGTTCACTGACTGATCAGCGGTGTAACAGGGGTGTGGCTGAAATCCCACTAGTGGAGATTCGTGTACTTTAGTGCCGAGAATTTCGGATTCCTACGTTCGCCAGTCCCTGGTTTCTGGATGCAAATGTTGCAGCTTGACTCGTCACTGCAGATTCGCCCTGACTCAGCAAGTTCGCCTTACAAACAGCCCCAACAGAGCAGATATTCGCCGCGTCAGAGCACAACAATTTCGTCCAATCACACGAAATTCGCTCTGACACAGCATGCTCTACCAGAAATTCGCCCAATCATAGGAAATTCGCCTATCGCGCGCACTGGTATCGTCGACAGAGGTGTGTGTGTGTGTGAAGCTGTGTACGCACGCCGTGTTCACTGTTGGCACCACATCGCGTGCCCTTTTATACTTGGGCTTTAAGTAAAAATAAAGAACTTAAAGCGACGGTGCACTTCGGGGGGGGGGGGGGTGGAGGCAAAGGTTTATCACTTGCCTCCACGTGGTTACCCGGTTTGCGGCTGGGGTTCAGACGCGAACAAATAGTCAGTGTCGGCGGAGTTGCGCGGGAAGTCTCGCTCCCGTCAGTAGCGACGGGGGCATTGGGAGTTGGGAACTTGAGTCTGGGCCAGGCAGCAGTTTGTGAACCAAATCGAAGGGTCTCTCGTTCCACAGCCCACAAAACACCGCCACCAAGCAACGAAGTAGCTAGCACCACAGCCTACAGCGCACGGCCACCCACAGAGCATGGTTATTTGGTTGATGAAGTAGACTCCTTTCTTAGACTCGGGCTATCAGTTAGGTTTTGACCAGTCCGTTAGATCGTTCCCAATAACGACGTCTATCGCCGCACACACGTCACCGTCGCTCGCTCACCGGCGTGCCGCACCGCACGTCACGTGTTGTCGTTTTCTCGTCCAAGTGATCGCTAGCCATCCGATGTCGCCGCCAATCGCAGCACATCGTTCCCTCGCTCCGTAGTTACCGTCGCTGCTATGCTAAGCGTCGACCATCGCTGCTTTGCTGAGCTCCATAGCAAGATGATCCACTAAGCTCCATAGCGAGTCGCTGATCCGCTAACTAAACCCTGAACGACCTTCGCTGATTTTTCACTATCAAGCGACGGTGTGCAGAATGGCGTCCAACCGCGTGCAACGGTGTGCGGGGTGGTGACTTGCCGCGCGCCACGGTGTGCGGAACGGCGACTTGCTACGTGCGACGACGTGCGGAACGGCGATTTGCTGCGTGCGACGGTGTGCGGAACGGCGACTTGCTGCGTGCGACGGTGTGCGGAACGGCGGCTTGCTGCGTGCGACGGTGTGCGTAATGGCGACACTGCTGCTTGCTTCTGCTGCCTTAGACAAGCCGCTTTCAGCCTCTACGCTTCTCCGAAGCTAAGTTTCCTCTCCGTAGCTAAGTTTCCTCCATCGCTCCCCATCTGTCTCTTTTGCTCTCAAGGCGCATGCGTCTCTTGGCGCATTGCGCATGACAGAGGGGGAAATTGGCGCTATGGCAGCAGAGCCCATGTAGAGTGCAGTGTAATGGGAGAGGTTTGAGGGAGAGGGAGTGCATTCATGCCATGCGTGCGTCCCTCTCTCCCCTCCCTGTCCTCTCTCCCAATCTTCTCCCACTCCACGCCCTGCTCTCTCGATCCTCTCTTCCCTCTCTTCCTTCTAGCCCCTCCGTTCTGTCATTTCTCCCCCCCCCCCCCATCTCCCCCGTCATTTCACCCCTCCCCTGTCATTAAACCCCCCCTGTCGCAGCCCCTCTGCTATACGCCTTTCTCTCCCTTACGCCCCTCTGCTATACGCCTTTCTCTCTCTTACGCCCCTCTGCTATACGCCTTTCTCTCCCTTACGCCCCTCTGCTATACGCCTTTCTCTCCCTTACGCCCCTCTGCTATACGCCTTTCTCTCCCTTACGCCCCTCTGCTATACGCCTTTCTCTCCCTTACTCCGCTCGGCTATACCCCTTTCTCTACCTTACTCCACTCTCAAACTCCCCTGCCCTCTCTCCCTATCCCATCGTCTCTCCCCTCTCGTACTCCCCTCTCCCCTCCCTGCCCTCTCTCCCATCCTTTTGTTCCCCCCCTCTCTGCCCCCCTCCCCTCCCTGTCCTTTCTTCCCTCTCCGCCCTCCCCTATCCCCAAGGATTAAAAATACGGTTGTCGTATTATACGGGCCGTTTTTTACGGTCGTATTTTACGGCCAATTTCCAAAAAAATCGGCCGTTTTTTTGTTGGAGATTTTTTTCCCAGACTTGGAACCGTCCACCTCTAAGGATGCGAACATCAGGAAAATTGCTAACTGTCAGGCCTAAAAAGCCGCTCCCCACAAAAACTCAGACTATTATAAGTGACCACGCTTGTGCGGCGATTTCGCCCGCCGATCTGCCGGTCGATTGGATCCCGCCAGGAACTGCCTTACTCCCCGTCAAAATTGTTGGAACTAAATGTCGCAACCAATTTGTCGCCAGTTACCACTTGTCACCGCTCTGAATCTACAAGACCCAACCCCCCTTACACTTTCACAGATCTCAACATCGGCCTCAACCCAACCCTAGATCTACAAGACCCAACTCCCCTTACATGTTCGTAAGGATCTTCCATGCCCTTATGGATGGCCTCGGAATCTGTCAGAGCTTCCGTAGGGATGTTCCTGAGCTCCACCGAAACTCCCCTAAGTATTATGCGAACGCGACGGCCATAACCAAGGTCTAGGAATACTTTCATAAATCTCGGTTTCAAAATTGCGGCCGTAAAAAACGACCGTATTTTTGAACGAACCTAAAAATGCAAGGTCTGACCGTATTTTACGTTTAATACGACCGTAAAATACGATACCGTATTTTACGGTGACTTTTTCAAAATTCGGTCGTATATTTGAACGTTGCCTATCCCCCCTCTTTGCCCTGTTCTTTCCCCCTCTCCGCCGTGTCCTATACCCTCACTCCCTGTCCTATCCCCTCACTCCCTGTCCTATTCCCTCACTCCCTGTCCTATTCCCTCACTCCCTGTCCTATTCCCTCCGCCCTGTCCTATCCCCTCACTCCCTGTCCTATCCCCCCCCCTGTCCTATCCACTCACTCCCTGTCCTATCCACTCACTCCCTGTCCTATCCACTCACTCCCTGTCCTATCCCCTCACTCCTTGTCCTATTTCCTCACTCCCTGTCCTATCCCCTCACTCCCTGTCCTATTCCCTCACTCCCTGTCCTATTCCCTCACTCCCTGTCCTATTCCCTCCGCCCTGTCCTATCCCCTCACTCCCTGTCCTATCCACTCACTCCCTGTCCTATCCACTCACTCCCTGTCCTATCCACTCACTCCCTGTCCTATCCACTCACTCCCTGTCCTATTCCCTCACTCCCTGTCCTATTCCCTCACTCCCTGTCCCATTCCCTCACTCCCTGTCCTATTCCCTCACGATGCATGGTGTCATGCAGCAAGGGCGTAAAAGAGTGTGCCACTGTGTCATCTGCCGTGAACACATGAAAATGAGGAAGGGACGACGGGAGGGGATGAGGGGAGGAGGGATGAGGGTAGGAAGGGATGATGGGATGGGCAGTGGAAAGGACGAAGTGAGCCTCAAACGGGGGGTAAGCAGGGATGAGCGGAGGAGGGATGGAGGCATGGATAAATGAAGGATGTAGAGAGGAGGACAGGGGGGAGAAGGGAGGGCAGGGGGTAGAGAGGAAGACAGGGGGGAGAGGGGAGGGCAGGGGGTAGAGAGGAGGACAGAGGGGAGAAGGGAGGACAGGGGGTAGAGGGGAAGACAGGGGGGAGAGGGGAGGGCAGGGGGTAGAGAGGGCAGGGGGAAGCAGGGGGGGAAGGAGGGGGGAGGGGGGAAGGAGGGGAAGCAGGGGGAAAGGAGGGGAAGCAGGGGCGGAAATGAGGGGAAGCAGGGGGGAATTGGAGGGGAAGCAGGGGGGGGGAAAGGAGGGGAATCAGGGCGGGAAAGGAGGGGAAGCAGGGAGGGGAAAGGAGGGGAAGCAGGAGGGAAAACAGGGGGAGAAAGGAGGGGAAGCAGGGGGGGGGGGGGGGGGAGGGGAAGCAGGGGGGATAAGGAGGGGAATCAGGGGAGGAAAGGAAGGGGGTCAGGGGGGGAAATGAGGGGAAGCAGGGGGAGAAAGGAGGGGAATCAGGGGGGGAAAGGAGGGGAAGCAGGGGCGGAAAGGAGGGAATCAGGGGGGGAAAGGAGGGGGAATCAGGGGGGGAAAGGAGGGGAATCAGGGGGGGAAAGGAGGGGAATCTGAGTGCATGGGTTTGAGCTGGGGGGAGATTGGAGGACAGGAGCGAGGCGGCGAGGCGGCGATGTGGCGAGGCGGCGATGTGGAGAGGCAGCGAGGCGACGAGGCGACGAGGCGGTGATGTGGCGAGGCGGCGAGGCAGCGGCGAGGTGGAGAGTGCGGGAGGCGGCGATTTGGCGAGGCGTCGAGGCGGCGATTTGGTGAGGCGGTGAGTGCGGGAGGCGGCGATGTGGCGAGTCGGCGAGACGTCGAGGCGGCGAGGCGGCGATGTAGCGGCGATGAGAAGCTCCTATCGCGGCGAGGCGGCGATGTGGCGGCAATCTGGCGGCGATGCGCTGATGAGAAGGCGAGGAGGCACTGGAGGTCGCACGGCGAGGACACGGAGTAGCGGGGAGGCGAGTTTGGAGGGGAGGCGAGAGGCTGTGGAGGATGGGTTCCGGCGAGTCGGGGAGGCGGATGTGAGGTGGCGAGACGGCGAGGAGGCAGTGAGGACAGAGAAACGACGCGCCGCGCAGGCGAAGACGTCGCGAGCCAGCCGCGATGTCGCCATTTGCATGCGATGCAGAATAACCTTGTACCCGTGGAGAAACTAACACTACTCGCGGGCTATGCCGTTGCGGTGCTTAGGAAATGGCTGCATGGATCCCTGCTATTTGTGATGTGGTTTCTACGCTTTGAAGCCCAAGCTATCTGGTTTATCACTCGCATTGTCAGGTTGATCGACTCCGCTTGGTTCTCGGATCCCTATGCTCGAATTCCGCCCTGCCGGGGTGTGTTCCCCCAACCCAACCATTGTACAAAATTGGTTGGCATCGCCTGCCTTGTATCAATTCCTCGCACCAGCCTTACGTACCCTAGACAATTCGCCCTCGAATCACCAAGCGCCAAAGGGTGCTCACTGATAATACACCCAAAAACCACCCCTAGGAAAGTGCACCGTCGCTTTAATGAATTGCTTGTGTAAGCAAAATATAATTATAATGTATGTACTCATAATGTTTCTAATATAATGTTTCTAATACAAGGGATACAACTCTACGCAACCCTTCCGACGTAAACGTCGAGTCTTGTTTCGTTTTCGTCTACGCCGCCTATGACGGAGGTTGAAGAGCAAGTTTGGAGGATGAAGAGCAAGATTGGAGGATGAAGATGAAGGTTGGAGGATTTCGCACTATAGAATCATTGCCTGCCTGCAGTCAAGACTAGAAAGTGTAGACACTTTGTTAGTAAATATGCTGTAGATAGTTGTATCTTTCGTAGACCTCTCTTTGACCCTAAATCAGGGCTGACTATTCAAAAAAATCCAGTCTGACGTTCTGGGGGGTCTGAAAAAATTTAGTCTGAGGCATATTTCCCAGAGAATGGCTACTCTGATTTTTCAGGTTCCGCAAAAACACAAGTCTGGAGTACTCAGACTTCACATGGCGAAATCAAACACGGCGTAAGAGTCCCACGTGAGTGTAAGTGAAACACCGAGCCAAGTGGTAGAATTCCAAGGGAAAAGGGTGGCAAAAGTGCCAACAGGTTTTGCGCGTGATAGCGCGGTGAAGTTTTTCGTACCTTGCGGAAGGTACGCAGAAAGTACAGATCCGAATTTCAGGATCCGTACTCCCTGTAGTATGAAGACCCATTATCGGCTAAGTCACTACTCTGAAATTCTCAGTATCCAAAAACAAGGAGGTTTGAAGCACTCATGTTTGAAAATCTTACATCTCTGAAAAATCAGGATCCGTAGGAAAATACCCTGAGATTTCAGACAATCAGACTATTTTAGTCTGATAAAATCAGCCCTGCCCTAAATTCACCATATATGTTCATTTACATGGTTGCGTTTCCCATTTGTGATCATGGTTTTTCTTATTGCTCTACCATCTTTGAAAGTTCCATGGTGTTTATACTAGCTGGTAGTAATTTGGTCTTACCTACAGACCGCAATTATTGTCAAATATGAAAAAGATGTCCATAATCACCGGTCGTAATTTGGTCACACCGACAGCAATTTTTGTCGAATAGAGGAAAGATTATAAATTCACAAATTTTCCCTATTGAAAAATGGCAAGATATGCAATGACAAGCTACCGGTTGTAACCTTATCCTAAACCGTGTGTAGCGGAGGAACATTTTTTAAAGTACAGTTTTTGTACACGTGCAATGGTAAGAAAACATGTACAGCAATGTATGTCTCAGATTCCAGGCCAATTCATGCTAACATACCAAGATTGCAGAGCCCCCCCCCCCCCCCCCCCCCCCCCCCCCCCCCCCCCCCCCCCCCCCCCCCCCCCCCACCCCCCCCCACCGCTCTTTCCCGCTCCAGGCCCCCCTCCAGAAGACCCCTTCCCCCCTCAGGGTCCTGATCCTTCAGGTCTGTCTCAGGTAGACACACTCCCCTTGGCTGAGCCTCTTGATGTCACTTCCGACACCTTTGGCCCAGATGAGGGGGGTGACGTTGCTGCTGACGACGCGGCGACCCCCCGCCGCTCACCTTGCTAGGAGACCTCTCCTGGTTTTCCACCTCGACCGTCTTCACCGCCTCTGCAGCCGGTTGCTGTCGACTCTGGTGCTGCTGGGGGTGGTGCTGCTCGGGGTGCTGCGCGAGCCTGAGAGTGCGGAGCCTGGGGGTGCTGAGCCTGAGGGTGCGGAGCTTGGGGGTGCTGAGCCTGGGGGTGCCGAGTCTGAGGGTGCTGAGCCTGGGGGTGCTGAGCCTAGGGGTGCTGCGTCTGCTGGAGGTCCTACGGGTGCCTCGCCACAGCAGTCTCGCCGGCAGGAGCCTCTCTCACCACAGTAGCTGCGCGAGTGGTTTGCTCAGCGCACCCGCCTTCGGAGTGGCGCTGCTGGAGCTGGAGCCCCCGCTGCTGGAGGCACTGAAGCTGGAGGCATTAGAGCTGCTAGTCCTGGAGGTGCTGGAGGTA